AACCCCCCCCCCCCCCCACCCACACACATACAGAAACAAACAAACGAAACGTAAAAAAAAACGTATGTTATATTATCCTAGTGTTTCTTCAACCATCTGTTCCGATTTTCCAAATATGTGTGTTTGACTGGAGAATGGTCCCAGCTGTTGGAAATTTTGGATATAATTGAAATAAGGGCATACTCTTGTAGCAAAAATTCACAGGCCGAGGGGCTAGAGCTCAGATGGCCGGTGGATCGGAAAAGTAAAATAAAGTAAAAGTAAAGTAGCAAATTATACTGAACATTCTGATTTTTTAAATTTCAGATGTCTTCAGTAGTTTTAAAGATACCGTATGCGACATTTTCCATTTTGTAACACAGAGTGTAAAAACGGCTTTAACCTTAGTATGTTGACCCTATTTCTTGCACCTTTTAAACCTTCGGTGAAGTACAGCATGATGCAAAAATAATAAGAATGAATATATTTAGACTTTAAAATGTAATTAAGTCCTTTCAATATGTTATTAAGAAATAATATGGTTAAACGTGTGTTTTCTGATGCAACTCAATTTTTGACCAGGTACGATTGTCTTGGCCTTTTCACCCCGTTGCGCAAAAATAGCTGTGCCGATAACTGGGCCGTTTCTCCCGGCACACACACACACACACACACACACACACACACACACACACACACACACACACACACACACACACACACACACAAACACGCGTGCAACTTATAATCTTTTCTTCACTTGTGTCCCTTTCAGGACTACCCACTCAGGGAGGATGACGTCATCCTGTGCTCCTACCCCAAGTCCGGCTGTCACTGGGTGTGGGAGATCTCCCGACTGCTGATGAGTGGCCGGACAAGTGCGGACAAAGTGGACAAAGAACAGTTCATGATGGAGGCCTCTAAATGTTTCAATTCAGGCGACATAGATGATCTCCCATCTCCCCGACTTCTCAACAACCATGCAGTGAGATTATGTTGTTAATGCTCATTTTGTTGGAAATGTCACTAGTTCAAGTTTAGGTGCCCAAGTGATACTCACCCATGCTTCCCCCCTTCCTCATCCTCCCACCCGACATAACGTCATGTACCCCCACTGCAACCACAATCACCACCACCACCACTAACTTGCACTGCTTTATCTACTTTGTAAAATTTGCTGCTGTTCTTGTTGGGTTTTTTAGCTCCTTGATCTAGTTTTAATGAGAGTTTAATGGCACTCACAGAACAAAGAGGTCAGATAATGCTGAAAAATTAGAAGCACCACTAGGAAGTGACATACAAAGAGAAGTAGAAGATGAAAGGACGATAGATATTAGATAGGAATGAAGGAGCAAACCACACCATAGCATACACCAACCAACTACATTTTAAATATAACCATGATTGCTCACTGTTTCCTCAGTTCTTTGAGCAACAGCCCAAAGACATCTTAAAGAAAGGCGTCAAGGTGATCCATGTGTACAGAAACCCCAAAGACGTGGCAGTCTCCTACTTTTATCACAATTCTAGGATCCCAGCTTATAAATACAGCAACTCGGACTTCTCCAAATATCTGCCCCGGTTGGTGGTTTCTTTACATGAGTGTCCTGTTGTAAGTCAAGATTAACTTAAAGTCCACTCAATGGGAATCAAAATGTTCACATACAAATTTTCCGGAAAAAACCCCCGGTTTACTAAGGTTGCAAGAGTCTGAATGAATTTAGAATAAATAGTGGAGTTTAGAATTTTCTTTTAGATTCCATGTCGACACACCACCCTTTTGATAAAAGGTTACAATTTCATGAAACTGTGTCTGTTGATAAAATATTTAAGACATAGAACTGTTAAAAAAAAATTTTTTATTAAAGACAGATTTAATGCTTTGAAAGATGTATTTTGATACTAGGTTTCATGCATGAAACTATGTCATTTTATGAAGAGTTTAATGCCTGAAATATTATGAGCCAATCTGTAACGCTAAGAAAGCCAACGACCCCCTCAGTTCCGTCCCACCTGATAACTTGTGTTTTCGCGAAAAAATCCCCACTATGTCTGGTCAAGTGTTTGTTGTATGAACCAGTTATCAGTACAAACAGCGCCACAAGTGACTTGAATGACAGACGAAAGTGAAAATCATAATGATAAGTTGATATGTTGGATCTGGAGGAATTACCCGAACTGCAGAAAAGGAAAGTAATTAGAAATAATAGTATTTTACTTTTATGCGCCAGATACTTTTCTTAGAGAGAGAAGGGATGAGACATATAAAGATACACACAAAGAGGTAGACCAACAGATAGACAGACAGACAGACAGCCAGACCGACAGACAAACGGACAGACAGGCAGACGGACAGAAAAAAACAGATAGCTAATAGAGTAACGTGGGTAGAAGGAATATACCTCCCAAGGACAGTAATTTTTGCTAGAAATCTTGCAAAATTCGCAACACTTACATTTTCTGAAAGTATGCAAAAGGTTTTCGTAGTTGTGTCGCACGCATATGTTGGCACCTTGCCTAGCATTATATAGAGAGACCCACCAAAACATTTCCCGAAAAATCAAAGTTATGAACACTTCCTTAGGGGTTTGAACCATGGACATTTGCTTCATAACACCGGTACATACAAAATGAAGTAACCGTAAGCTGCGCCCCCACCCCCTTCTGCCCAACCACTCAGCACGCATTTTTTATACTAAGATTTGTAGATGTAAACATGAACGCACCAAAAAAGCAAATAGAACCCCCAACCCCCCCAACCAAAAAAAAAATAAATAAAAAAATAAAATCAACAACAACAACTCAACAAACAACACAACAAAACAAACAAGCAAAAATACTCGTGACTACCCGACCCCCCCCCCCCCCACCTCCCAACCAACCTACCTACCTAACGAACAACAAACAACAAAAAAGAAAACAAAGTAAAACGTAAGTTAGGTTTGTCAAAATAATGTTTGTGCAGGTTTGTGGACGGTCTAGTAGCCAGCAACTGTGTCTTTGACTACATGAGAGACTGGGAGAGAGCCATCAACGAGCAGAAAGATCTCAATGCCTGTGTTATATGTTATGAGAATATGCACGTAAGTACATCATATGAAATATAATATGTATACATAACTCTTTATCTCCGAGGGGGATAAGCCCCAAAATGCAGGGTCTCTATTTTTCGTATGAAATCTAAAATTGACATATATACCAGGTGCTTCAATAAATACCTCACACACTCGAAGAAGGGACCATCTTGACGACGGGAGGTGCAATAAATCCTACCAAAGCCCCCACTGCCTTGTGGGTTGTCAGTGAATGACAAAGGCTAGCAGAGAAAACTGTACACAAACCGGCAGTAGGCAACGGGAAACCACTGCTGTAACACCCCAAGAACAATCATGGAAAAGTATCTCAATGAACACCAAAAGAGAAAGTTTTGAAATGCTACGTTTGGTCAACCCTTCTATATGGCAAATAATGCTGGACAATCACCAACAGCGAAAATAAAATAGAAGCAACAGAAATGGGGTTTCTTAGGAGACTGCTAAGAGTATCGTGAAAGGAAAAGAAATCAAATGAGGTAGTACTTGATGAAGCCCACGTGGGACGCTCAATGTTAAAACCAATCAGGGAACGACAAATTAAATGCAGTTTTTGGGACCCCTGATTAGACATAAGGGTCTTGAACATCTAGCTCTCACTGGCACAATTGAGGGCAAACGAGGCAGGGGTAGGCCCAGAACAACATACTCAGGGAACCTAAACAATTAATGGGTAACAGGGAAAGATCGGGGAAACATAGCTTTTTTGAGAGCATCCGAGCAAAGGAATGAATGGACAACCATAATCGCCGATGTCTGTCGCAGATCTGGCACTGGATGATGATGATGATACCTGGTGACCTTCCCCCCCAAAAAACGTTACCCACGGAGACAGCCATAAAAACCGTTAAAATGAACATGTTAGAGCACATGCTTCATGTGACGTCCGTTTCGGGCGATACACGCTCCGAGGCGCTTGGCGATATTGTCTACGACATTTGGTCGCTTTTAAGCACAATGGGGCTATCCCGAAAAATGCTGTTTTGAGAAAATCGAAAGTAAAGTATTTGCCCCTTGTTCAGTTTCTTTAAAAGACAAGGAGAGTTTTCCCTATAACCAAACAAATATACACACCAATGAAACCAAACCAAAGTATCTTTGACCAAACTTCTCCTATAGGTATGGCAATGCCCACTCCTGGTGTAGGTCAAGATTTCTGGAAACCCCCGAGATTTGGGTTAGCCCGTTTGTCCTTAAAAACGACCATTTATTTTCCATTGCTGAGCCTTTGATATACCTCGGTCTTGTACGGTTTAAACTTCAGATCGCACTCCAACATGCGCCGAACAGACTCTCTAGCAATAGTTAGTTCAATACAATAACGACGAACTGACTTTTTAGGTTCTTCGCTCACAGACTCCATCCCCAATGCCACATTTTCAGGAGTGCGCCCTTGCATCGGTCTCCCTCTGTGGGTGACCCTAATTTTTGACCTCTTGTATTTATTTTCAACTGAGCCATGTGACATGAAGTCAGCCACCCACTTAAGTATTGTCACTTTACTTGGTATTTTCTTACGGTCTTTGGTGTTAATTCCAAACTGTTTACAGAAGAGATTCCCTGTCAGCCGTTAGCATACGGGATTTATCTCGATATAATGATGTTTCAACCATAAAAATACGTTGTTCAACAGTGAACTGTATCTCCGGAGTAGCCATGGGTGCTTCCAAGGTACTCTTGTTTTTGTTACGTGTTTCTCTTTCTGGAGCTTGCTTGTCAATTTTTGTGTGAATTTTGCACTTAAGTGGACAGTTATAGGCTTTCCCGCGGGTAAAGTGTTGTTTTTTCTTGGTAAGTAGGTACGTCACTAAATTGGTGATTAAATCAAAACAAGTGAACTTTTATTGATAGCTCTTCATCTAATGAATGAATTCCTGGTAAAAGAGACCTGTCTTCGGCAGTTGCCGAAAATAATTTGACGTTGAAGTTGCCGTAAAGGAATGTACCCGAGCTGCTGCCAGCGCCTCACCGGCACAGCGGTTCTGACTGCGAGTTGCTGGGGAGCAGCTTGCCGTAGATAAGGAGTTAATGGGTGCGCGCG